GAGCGGCGATCGGGAAACTTGGGACTTTCATTAGTGCGCGCGAGGCGGGATGCCATTAGTCGTGCCGCCTTTATGTAACCGCCGCTTTGTTTTGTCCATTATGCCGCTCCTTATGTATATCGCCGCGCCGGTATAATTACGAGAATATTGTTGAACCTGAAAAATTTATTCTCTCGATCGCGCGCGGCTCGCGAGCGCGCTCGCGCGCACTCTTGAATTCACCTCGCGGGGAACACGCTACTGCATAATATCTGAATAACAAACGAACTATCCCACAGGCATGTACGATAGTTTAGAGATAAGAATAATCGGAGAATGATGTAAGCCACCCGCGGCGCATTCAGACTCATCATTTTTTTTTCCTTCTATTTCTTTTCTTTTTCCTTCTTTTTTATTTTTTTTCTTTTGCGGAATCTCTCGCTATCTCAAGGAGTTATTCTATTCATTCAGAAGTCTCGTACGATCTCTCGAAGAATCGCAATTCTGCTATACTTCGCGGTCGTGAAACCGGAAGATTATTCCCAGAGAGTACGACGCGTCAAGTATTTTTTTATAAAATCGAGCTTTCGTCGAATCAAGTGTTGCGCAACGATTTTGTTAGGTATTGCGCAAGCGGTCGAGATTTCGCTAGCGTGTGCTCGAACTAAGAATCGTATTATTCACCGGTCACGAACCCAGTTTTAATTTCTTTACGACGCGAAGAACGAATATTGCCGAGAGAAAATATCAACGCCGACGTCATGGTCGAGCGCAATGGTCATATAAAATTTTCCCGTTGCGACTCTCCCATAATGAATTTTTGCACAAGCACGTGATGCATATGACTGACCCAATTTTTGTTTAACCATTAATGTTTGATCGTTTATCTGGCTTTGACCGAGTTACTTTCGCCATATGTGCTTATCCATTGTAAAATCACATTCATCATTACGTGACGAATCAACTCTCCCCAAGTGCGTTTTGCACAACGTGTATTAACGTACCGCTGTCGAAAGACTAAACAGCAACATTCGACGTGCGTTTAACGAAACATTTATAACTTTGAATTATATTGCGAGTACATTTTAACATGATCGATAAGTCGTCGCGTTGCATTATAAAGTTATGGAGTTTCAATTTCGGCATTGCAAAACTCGTGGAGATACGAAAAATAAAGAAATGCTTTTTCTCTAATTTATATTTCAAGGCAATTTTCTCTTTATTGTTCCAAGTGTTCTTTAAATCAGTCACGGAACGCGATTTGAAATCTCATTAATGAAT